AGTTCACTACCTGTCTGTGTACTTGTTACAAAATAATGAAATAATGAAAATAATGAATACACCTCAGTTTCCCGTATTTTCAACAACCAACCAATCAATCAAATCGGTTGACTGTGTTTTCATAACGTATTTCGTGCAAGGCTTCGAACACTTATCCCGTTGAACTTTGTCTTCACACACACACACACACACACACACACACACACTTACACATGTACTCCAAAACACCTCAGGTGTTCATGTGATGTATCCTTGAGAATTAAAGGTCGTGTATACTGCACCAGTATGCGATAAGTTCTGCTCTATGATTGTGAGACCCCAAATTTGGGCGTTGAAGATATTCGTTGTCTGGACGTGTTCGACTGCCGATGTCTGCATAGTCGGGTCCGGGTTGCATGGAGCGAGTGTGTAAGTAACTCTGAGGTAAGTAGTCGCGTATCTGGCAATGAGTTAATGAAGAATTCGTTGTTCCATTGAATTCAGATTAGATTAGGCTTCGCTGGCTAGGACACAAATTACGCATGCCCAACTGTCGTCTGCCGCATCGCCCTTTATTTTCTGTAGCCGCCCCGGGCTGAGGAAACCACGTAGAGGTCAACGGATGACGTGGAGAAGAGGTATGAAGTAATGCACAGAGCTATTAGAGTAGGCATCTCCCGTCTTCTCCAGGTTGGGGTCCGAGAGACTCTGTAACTGGCGGATTGGATACACTGAAGGATATGGCAGCGAACCGACAGCAGTGGTGTTCTTGTTGTCATTTCTTATCAGGCCAGCTAGATTGTATACTCTGTGTGTTGACCATATAGGTTCACTTTCCTTGCATCCTTCTAATTAGGCCTAGTCCCTCTGCACATTGTATTTTATCGCTTGATTTGTATACATTGTGAGTTTGGAAGCGATCAGTGAAGTTCACCTCAAAGTACCTCCCTGTGCGATGAGGAGGAAGATGTCTTGGGCAATATGGACAATATTCGAATAACTATGATCGCTGTACGAAGTAGAAAGCAGGTGGAGAAGTATCTCGAATGAAGGAAACAAGTAGTTGGTAGGGCGTTTCAAAAACTCTTGACTGGAGTGAACAGGAACGCGTGACTGGCGGTCCCTCGGCTCGTATTCTCACAGCTCGCGATCGATACGAGACGTTTTGAGCGACGGAGGACGGCAGCAGAACGGCAGTAGGGCCACGATACTATCGGGATTCGGGGTCGGGAATAAAGATCTAGTGAGATACAAGCACTCACGATAAAATATGATTAGCCTGGTTGACAGGTGCAGGATATGGCGATAAACCGACAGCAATGGGGTTCTTGTTGTCATTTCTGATTAGGTTACAATGCTTGGAAC